GTGGTGAGGGCCGGGCCGGGGGGGAGGGGGAGGGAGACGTCATGCGGAGGGGAGCCGGGAAGGGAGTAGATAAAGTAGAGGAAGGAAAGGAAGGAGAGGAAAGAGAGGAAGGCCAAAAAGGCGCAAGTCAAAGCCACCGCCATCGGTCTATGCTCCATCGCTCCGCTCCTCGCTATGCTCGTTGCTCAACTAAAGACTACGCCACCCTTCAGCGCCCAATACAAAGAAGAGACAGCAGCAGTTGGCGAGGAAGAGGGTCGCGAAGCAAATGGTGCAGCCAATCAAAAAAGCAAAGCGCCTTGTCGATAAGAGTAGAAAAACGCTCTCAGAGAGGCAGGCAACAAGCAGTGCGCAGGCTATGGCGAGATCGGGAAGTAAGGCGAGGAGAAGGAGGAGCAAGGGCGCGGCGCTTCGCGCAGGCACGGGGGGGGGCCCGCGGGACAGAACAGGTTCAGCAGGGCAGGTAGAGGCAGTATGCATGACGCTCGGCTGCACAGTGCTCAGGCACCGGGATACGAACATAGAACCGGGAGGGTGCCGTTTGCCAGAAATGTAACCACTTCCTCCACCTCCTGCTGCTCCTCTTCCAAGTCCCAGTCGGCGAAAAAGTCCATGCCGCCCGTCGTTCTACTCAACCCGCCGCAGCCACGAAAACCGGGAGCCTCGTTTGCTGTTAGAACCATTAACCGTACGGTGGTCCGATGAATAGAACACCCTGTGTTCTGTTCTGATATAGTCGCGACGCATGCTCAAGAATCGTAGCCTTCCGATGCAAGCTAACGCTCTTATTCACCCATTCACACGTACCTATCCTACGGCCAGAAAGAGGACATTCAAGGGACAAGAAAAGGAAAAAAAGGAAAAAAGGAAAGAAAAAGGAAAAAGGAGAGAAGGTCAGGGGCGAGGAAAAGAACAGAAAAAGTAAAAAGCAAAAAATGAAGAGCGAACAGGACCACAAAACTAAGACTAATTCACGATATCACGTGCCTACGTATTACCACAGTCTCCGACCTTATTCGTTACGACCCGAGAGCGGGCTGCTCACACAATCCTCAGTTAGTCGGTTCTTATTGACCGGGGGCTTATTCACGAAGCTGGGTCTGTGCTACTCCTACCACCCCCATGGTCCAGACAAAAGGAAAAAGGAAAAGGGAAAAGGAAAAAGGGAAAAAGAGAAAAAAAGAGAGAAAAAAAGAAGAAAAGAGAAAAAAGAAAAAAGAAAAAAGAGAGAGAGGAACGCATGCGCCCGTCCAGAGAATCGTCCAGCTCCGAGAGTCCGCATTTCCAGCTCCTTATTGCTTCTCTTCCTCCTTGTTACCTGTATGCGTGTGTGTGTGTGTGTGTGTGTGTGTGTGTGTGTGTGTGTGTGTGTGTGTGTGTGTGTGTGTGTGTGTGTGTG